TCCGGTTGAATCTGCTGCACAAAGGTAGCCTCGTGTTTAACTTGGATAAGTGTCCGTTAGCAGTCGAGTGTCCGTCCCAACCAGAGTGATGTATAAATAACTGTATTTGGCCAAATACATATAAATTTGGTACAATTAGAACAGGTTGACGGAAATTTGGAGACTGTCTCGACCTGATGAAAAACGTGAAAAAGGTTGTGAGCTGTAGAAGGCTTTTTAGCAGACTTATGAGTAGCGTGTTTCGACTAGGTTGGATTCTTTTTGTTGAATACTGCGGAAGTACTTGGCTGAGGATTCTGTGTCTCCGTCCCCTCGCCTCTCCCTGACGAAAGCAGTCACGCACTGAATCATTCAGAAACTGTACCGATCAAACTGGAAGACTAATTTGGACTGTCTAGCAGTACAACCAGGCAGGTAGAGTATGCGGTGACTGCGAATTAGCTGCCAGTGAGGCTACCAAGAGAGCGAAATCCGTGTATGAAACCGGTTGTGTCGGGTGTCTGAAAATTGTGCACGTTGGAACTTGAACTGTGGCGTGTCACGTATACGTTAAATGTCACTGCAGCCTGCAGTTAAAAGTCAGCATGAGCAGTACGTGTATGTCAGCCGTGCCTGCCAGTTGTCTCAATGGAATGTTACTGAATGAGGACGGAAACGAAGTGCATGAAAGCGTAACAAGAAGAGGTAAGATACATGCATTAGCGAATTTCATTGGTGCTGACGAGAGATTTCTCTGAATCCCTTATTTATCATCTACTTCGACTACATATGCTGCAAAACGGCCTGCTACGATTTCAGCTAGTGCGGTATTCAAGCCATGGGAGTACATGTTCACGACACATCACACTGCCTATCAGGTTGCTGAAAATTCACCGACAACCCCCTACCTTAATTGGGTTCACCAAATGATCCTGTAGGGCATGTTCACTCATTTGTTCAGATCTCTCGTTAACAATATGTAACTTGCAAATGACAGTACGTTACCACTTGTGTACAATTATTTGCTACGCAGGCTGAACGAAAATGAGCATGATGAAAACTGGGCGACTACACCTCTCCGACAGGCGTCCAAACAGACGATGGGCTTTCGAATAGTTTTCAACAGCCTAATAATCAGTTCGTTATATCACAACCAAGGCAAACTAAAACGTAAAAATCCATGTGTTCTCCAATCTGTCTTTCAGGTCTCTGCTTTGGCTATTTAATTCCGGATATGTTAAACCACGTGAAACCTCATGAAACGTCACCAAAAGTACGGTATACCAAGTGTACTGTGTACGTGCAACTATGAAGCATACTTTTCACACAGTCGCAACAGTATGAATGTATAAATTTCATGACTTACTAGCCGTAACGGCAGATGATTTAAGGTGACGCTTCTTCCTATATGTTGGAATTTGTTGTGATGGACAGAAATACTCGCACAGTTAGATACACGGTGTCTCTTGATTCACCATGTATGTCTGTTGCAACACTGATGCGTCTGTTGCATGAATTTTTCTGGTTCCGCACAATATCATCTAAGTTGTTATCATCTCCGAGTCTGATTATCCTGGAGGTTGGATGGTCACCCAGAAGGAAAAAAAACTAGAAACACAGTGGTTCATGGGAATGACATCTTGCATTCCGCTCAAAGTCAGACAAACAGCAAATGGTTTGTCATGCTTGAAATCCATCGAAGCTGAGAACAGCACATGCGAGGCAGAGTATCTAATAGAAAATTACGGAAGATGCTCACAGCTGTATCAGAAAGTAAGGGAATGAAGTTCGCGGCACGTCCTTTTGAACAGCCGTCCTCCTGTCTTGATACAATTATTCTGGTGAGACTACTGGAATTAAGCTTTGCTCCTATTAGACCTCATCAGCAGTGCACATTCTTAGTCGCTTAGAAATCTGAACCCTAGAAATTTGACATGCGAAACGAAATCATTACCACTAGTCCACCGGCACAACCTGGATGCGGCTAAACTATCAAGTCTGAACAGGCGGAAATGTTCACGTCGGGCAAACCAATAATACCGTTCAGGTGTGAACACTATCGCTTGTTCACACAGTCATTCGAATACAAGATTTTTGAAGAACTTCAAAAGTTCGTTTCATTTCCTCATCAATTACGAAATCATATAGATTTGGGGAGACTGGCTACACCGGATGGACACCACTGTCTTACGGTAGCTTTAGAGGAGCTTTCCATACGCCAGGAAGTCTGCGAATATAAAGAAGTCATTATGTTCAGAAACGTCCGCGGCACTGTTTGCTGCGAAGGTGTGTAAAGATGAACAGACCAGTCAACTGGATCAGTTTGCGCCTTGGAAACCCGGGAATACTAGAAGTTTGGCTAGTGTTTTATGTGAAGATATGATCAAAGTAACCACTGCTAGGCCGGAATAAAACCTGCTACCCTCGAATCACAGTTTCATAAGCCATCATAAAACAACGAAGGACAAGTAGCGCCAATAGTCTCGTTACGACAAGGATCAACCTGATTCCTCGCTGATTACCCTGCTACCTACGATTCCATTTCCTAAAATGGGCACTATCGCCGATTTCCTCCAGGTGTCTGGAATAGTATACACTTCTCCAATGCAGGCAAACTGATCAGACAAGGGGTGACTGAGGACTTCACCCCCATCTTTGAATAAGCGGGTGAGGGGTTATCCTGATTAGGAGCTCAGTGGTGATGGGGAGAACATATGCAGTCACAAACCTCGGGGGCCGTAGAGAGTTCCAGGTTCTGTTTCAGCCTTAGGGTCCAGATGAGTGGCAGCTGGTGGTCATGAGAACTATTGTTCAAAGTATTCGGTCCCATCGGTCGAAGATGTTGGCTGCACTCTGATCCTGAATGTTTTCGCTGGTAAGTGGTTTTTGAAGGCCGGTCACACGGGTCAACTGAAACAATCTTCGGGCACTCCAGGCTTTTAAGACCTCTTCCATTTCTTTAGCATTCCGAACCGATCAGGCTTTACAGTCGGCGACAACGTTCACTTTCACTTGACGTCTGATAATTCGTCGGGCCATATTATGTTCGGGACCGGCGGGGACATTTATCCGGTATTCAAACAGCACCATTGTTCCGCCTGATATTCAGTGCTTGAGCGTCATCACAGGCAAAACTCTCAGCAGTGTGCAAATATGTGATAATCTCGTTCCAGCACGATTTCACGTCTGATGACGGAGCAGTTGAAAAAAAGCTCCAGAAGACGATTGTGCTAAATTCACCTGTCAGTCTCTCAGTTTCTAAGCTTTTTGTCCGCAGCTTACGCGGTCCTAGGAAATGGAAGAAGCCACTCCGGACGAACGCGTGGGCGGAACCCACAAATGTGTTTGAAAACGAGTGACAGTAAGTTAGTGATCGACTCAAGTTCGTAACCGGCAAGCTGTTGGAGGACACCAAGTGGTCAGACGACTTCGGCTAGTTCGGAAGTTATATTGCTTAAAAACATACTTCGGTCAGCATACGACTGAAGCACTCGCCTGTCATTGTCCGTACTTACCGAGTCAAATCACGTCGACTGCCAAATTGAGTCTCAGACCCACTAAGCCTTCCTGCCTGTGCATTCTAGTCTCTGGCAACCACAATGATATCTCAACTTTTAGCTCGCCGCAACAGGGCGTCATATGACCTGCCTTCGACAGGGCTGAACTCAGTTGGGGTGTAAGCAGACACGACAAACAGACAACGATCAAATTCATGCTTGTGAGACTGCTTTACATACGTTGCCGGACGAACTGAAAAGAAGCGACTGTCAACGGGTATCCATTCAAGCACTAATCATTTTGCCCGGTGACTTGGGAGGATATCAAACCCTGTCATCCTGCTGCACTAGAAGCGAGTGTGCAGTACTGAGGTAATCAGCTCAACCACTGTTTGCTTATTCAAAAATATCACACATTTTTTGCTTTTCGTAGTATCGCAGACTATTGTGCGATGACAAAATAAATTGAATTGCGGATATCAGCTGTGGGAGCTGGACAGTATCTTCCAGAAATAACTGCCAAATTCAGGCTTTCAGCTAAAAAAATACGAGTAAGTTCCGTTTCATTTCAAACCAGAAAGAATTGTGTTTGGTTGGTACACCCTTTCGTGCTTAACTCGTTTAATTTTAATCTGACTTATTCGGTCACTCTTCCTGACTTAATCGTCCCCAGTTAATTTCACACGCGTATTTAAAGTCATCCCAAAATTACGTCTTTATTTCGTATGCATAACGGTCAACCCAAACCTAAAAGAACAAACTGATCGAGCCATAAGAAGTCTATTTTCGGTTCGTTCTGGCGTGGTACCTTCATGGCAGCACTTGAGGCAAACCAAGTGCATGAAATTAGTGGTGAAAAAGCTGTGGCAAGTGATTTGTTGGTGATATTTTCTAATCGTTCGAACGGAGAATTAAACCTTGTTCATATTTAACGAAGTACCCTCATTCGCATACCGATTTAGTTTTCAAGTGATGTCCTACCGAATCTGTTGTTTGTGATCTTCTTCCTAAACAAACGATTCAGCTGGGTTTCCCTGGTTTGCAAATGGGCTTTTCTGTTCATTCCTTGCAGTTTGGGCTTGAGTAAAATTGATGGAAACTTGGGGAATGAGCTTACCCGATGAACCCCAAGAACGGTAACACCGGTTGTGGGTTGCAGAAGAGTTTTCAGCGGCCCCACGAGTAGTGTGTGAAATTTTATTCATATTTGTTTAACAAGGTCATGCACTTGGTTTGCAGTGGATGGAGAAACACCAAGGGTTGTGCAAACCTCTTTAAACGGGATCCATTATCTATCTCATCACCAAGATGCCTCGCCATGACGAATTTTCGAGAGCTGCATTTGGTGTGTGTCCTACAAACGAATACGAGACTTATTTACAAGCTAGTGTTGTATGGAAATGACCCTGGGAACAGTTAAACAAATTTTGAGCTGCATGATGTCCCCCATAGTTTATGGCGGGTAAAAAATCGTTGTTTATGAGAGCCAATTTAATTGGAACTGGCGCCATAAAAATTTGTTTTCAGAGCCTTCATGGTTTACACGATAATATTGGTCTGTAGGTTTTGGACTAACATTTTTCAAGTTCAGGAATATAGCAATCATGAAGTTTGATGTTTCAAAAGGTTCAGTTGTGTTACCGAAACCCTGGGAAGCGTTGACAGATATTCCGTGGAACAATGCAATAGTCTGGCTTGTTTATATTGATTCGATCAACCGAATTTCGCATTTCGTGTATGTTAAGTCCAAATTGGCCATTGACCGTCCCTTCTCCGACCTGACTCTCAGGTAAAGTACAAATCTGCTGTTGTAAACCTGGGCAGGAAACATGTTGGACCATACTGTTTTGATCGAAAAACAAACCACCGGATGTCGCAAAAAACTGCGGGAATTTGTCATCAAACATTTTACAGCATTTGCGTAAAGCGTCGGCGTTCGGTGCAATAACGCTGACCAGGCGCTGGGCAAATCCTTTCGGACTGCGTCTAATCTGCGTGGTCAACCGAATCCGACAATCGGATAGTCGTCCGATCGATTCGATTCGGCGGTCTCGGGGATTATGGAAAACTCTTTCAACAGACGGTCCGGAACGAACCCAAAATTGGTAACTATAAATTTGCAGTTGTGTGGCATTTGGAAGTGAATTGATAGTCTTGGACGATAGAGAGCGGCTGAAGTTGGACGTATGAGTAAGTCGCTTTGTTGTTTTTCTGGGATTTGTCACGTTGCCTCCAATGAAAATGTCTGCCTTTCTCCGCGTACTTGACCTTAAAATGTAAAATTAAGTAATTGTCAGTTTGTTATGTTTAATTATCAGCACAGCTAATAAACAGGATGCCTTATTTCAGGGGGATGGGGAAGAAATCAGTGATAAGAGAATTACTCAGACATCAATAACGGTTAGCTCCTTCGTTTCCGTGGCAGGACAGCGTGTATTTCTTGGAAGAGACATTCCATTAAAAAGGGCTTCACGGGTAACGAGCCGGTCAACTTCATTGTGCTCCACTACCAGTCTTACACAAGTTTTCACTTGTCCTTCACTTGGACGACTGGGTGAAAATAATCTATGAAATTTATTTATTTTCTCACGACCTTTTAATAGAGTTTTCAAAAGCACCATTCGTATCAGCTCAGTCATTCGATCAATCCAAACATACAGAACTAATTTTGGACGGATGTCACTCAAGATATATTCTGATGGAAAATTTTGGTGACAGGTCTAAGTGTGCGGTTATCGACTGGTGGTTTCCAAGGTCCTATGCTGTCTGCACAAACTGCTGTCGTACTGTTCTCAGTCTTAGTCCGTATTATCTCAGGCTTTGAAAACTTGTGTATACAGTAAAACAAATTGGAACAAATTGAGCAGCCGCTCACGGATGTTTAATCGACATGGTCGTCATATTACAATTCTGTTCTTGAAAGATCTCAGAAAAGTTATTTTTTCACTTTAAGCTACTGTAAGCTACGAAAGGGCTTCTCACAAGATTCATTCTAACTCTCCTCTCTTAGGTTGCTGCTATCCTGTTCTATGGGGTTCATTGTGGTTAAGTAGGATGAACACTGACATCTGTGAATAGAGATTTGTTTGAAAACTCTTTCTGTTTGATACTAAATAGGTGAGGAAAAACCCCGTTTTGCTGTGTTTTGGTATTTCATTAGATTCCCGCTAGATGAGCTTGAATTCAGCGCTGTGAAATGTTTCTTGCTGTGTACGCACTCGTAAGCATGAGTGGGTCACCAAGTCAGAAGTGCGATGGAAGAGATAAAACTTCATTTGTGCAAATTAGCTACACAAAGTTCTGGCGCACCGTCTCCATGGCACCTGAGGCATAGTCCGCAGCGGTTTCCATTACGTTCCTGGATAGTGTTGCACCTATTGCCGTATTAACCCGTTGTACTTCATTTCTCATATCAAGAGGGGTGTTAGAACAATAAGGATATGAGTGCCGCTGTCAATTCATAAGCAAAAATACCGGTCGACAGTGACTGGTTTCGCTCTTATCTCTAACTGTTGCCTTCAGGGGAAGTACGGCTACTCCTATTCAACGGTTGAATGCATTTCGTTTGTCCATGCTGCACGGAGTTGAGCGGAAGGGTAACCATGAGGCTAATTCAAGCATCCTTACGAATGAATGTATGTGGTAATTACCTGGGAGTTTGTAGAATTATACATCTGATTACGCAAAATGAGTTTTCTGAAAGTATTTGGCGGCTGTGTTTGTCGGGAGGTCAATAAATAACAGAATTAGTTGGAGTGATCCGCACATCAAAAAACCTCGACAATAGGTCTTCTTGTTGGGGACAGATGTACTTAGAATAAACTCACTTGATGATAAAGCATTGCTCTTCTTATTAGTTTATAGAATACTTGCTTACTTAAAGGTCACATGGAAACTTATAGATTGGGAAAATGTAGTGATCAGGCTGCAGACCTCTGACAGCACTGACATCAGGGCATATCATCCCGAAAGAGCCTAAATGCTTTGCAAGCCATTTAAATGGATAAAAACTTAGGTTAAATATGACTGAATAAGAAAGCAAACCTATTCGAGTAGCAACTGCTTGCAGAAGAACAAAAAATGTCCACTGTGAAAAGAATATTCGGGAGGATAAAAATGACCAACTTCTTGTTTCATCCACTTGCTCCTTGTCAGCGATCCGTAATTGTTTTACCTTTCATTCTTGAGCAAATGCGTACAAGGTTCCATTCATTTTGTCGGCACGACCTGATGTTTTGCATCGCTGCACACAATGGCTCTCAAAGTACTGACAGAGGATAGTGAATTTGTTAAGAAAAGAACCGATCTTGGTAATTTTGTCATTTCCGTTGAATGTATTTATGTCTATTCGGAGGCCACCTGTGTTAATATTATGCACAGTAGAACTGTTTGAATACCTCGGTCTCCAGATCACTCGGAATACTTGAATTCGTAGGTAATACAATCACCAGGCATCATAAAGTGAATCAAGCTTGGAAGCATGTTGAGGTGAAAGTTACTCTTGTATATAGGATAAGACCTATTGAACCCATGAAGGTAGCCACAAGGTAGCGACAATCGTTGTCTCAGAACCATAGCTCGTGTGGGTTGGTGTCGGCGAATCCGTAACGGTGCAGATAGAAAGCGCGTTTTCGGTTATGTAACTGGTACTTCCATTGAATAATGTGTCCAGACCCAGAAGCTGCGTTGGTTGGGACATGTGTTGCGTATGCGGAACCATCGTTTGTCGAAGAGAGTGGTGTTTTCCATGCCCAATTCAGAGTGGCGTAAACAGAGAGGTGGCCAAACCTTGAATTGGCAGAGGAGTATGAAGGAGATCACGAAACGCTTGGGTGTCGTCGGTGCTACTCGCCTTCCAGGATGGGGACCGCGTGATCCTCACTGTGCCTGGTTGGAGACACTACAACATATGGCTGCCAACCGATGTCAGTGGCGTTCTTGTTGTCAGTTTCTGTCCAGATTGCCTGAGTGAATGTCTGGAGGTGTAAGCACCTCGGAATGATTGTGTTACGCTAGCACTAAGTCCTTCCCCCATCCACCTTTATTCTTTTCTTCACAATGAGGCTTTCAAATAACTCATGGTTGTACGGCAGTGAAACATCGGTGTTGAATACTGATGTCCTGCTGTCGATGATGATGGTACCCACTGCTATACTGTTAGACCACAAACAACATAAATATTCACCCCTAACTGCTGATTACAATTCTCTATACTGAAGAAGTGGTTCACTCGACAATGACTCTCATTTGAACACGGATTGTGTTTTAATAGGAAACTTAGCTGAATTTAGCTGAATCTCTCATTTATATTAGTTCAATATGGGTTCAAGTTTGACGGAATCTCATGAACTGCCTCCAGACGGGTAGTTCATTTCTTTAAGCTGCGATCTAAATCCGCGCAGAATACAAGGTCGATTCTTCTGAGCCGCTACTCTTCGTATCCCTATTATAAAAAAGCGTGAGGGAGTACTGTCTTTGACGCACAGACATGCATGCAGAATTCTGTGTGATGTTGTCAGCATGTCGAAACATTAGTAGCTATCTTTGCGCACTGGTGGTGAAGGAAGATGTTCAACTCCATGACAGATTTGGCGACCTGATCATTGACCAATGGTGACGATAGCTACCTTGTATCTCCAATGGGGTCAGTCGTCGTCAAGACTGTGAACTTTTCGAAGCGTTGTTTTGAATTGAATCAGACTGAGGGAGTATGTAATCGTGTGCGGTGTTCAAGAATGTACAAGGAAGCTCCAAAAACACAGATGCTATAAATTATTCACTGGAAGACAACTTTGGGGCTGAAGAGGCTTGAATGGAATCCACTGGTACACCACCAACATGAGGAAGTCTGGAAGTGAGTCTCATGATGATCACACCAACCACAGTTTTGTGGCTTGAATACAGATCAGTGGAAAGCAATAATGCAGTGCTACGTATTCAACCGGCTTTGCAAAAATGAACGTGAAAGTGAACGGGTTTAATCGACTGAGATCAAATTCAAACCAAATTTACACAAAGCTCTATCATTCAAACTTGGAAGTGAGTCTCATGATGATCACACCAACCACAGTTTTGTGGCTTGAATACAGATCAGTGGAAAGCAATAATGCAGTGCTACGTATTCAACCGGCTTTGCAAAAATGAACGTGAAAGTGAACGGGTTTAATCGACTGAGATCAAATTCAAACCAAATTTACACAAAGCTCTTTACATTCAAACTTTCTTTGTGCTGGGGAATACTGACTAGCTTCGGTATGTGAAATCTTCAAACACCTAATTGTGTGCAACAGTTCAGCGCTCAAGAAGGTGAATGTGTTTTAGCCATTCAGTCACTCCGTCTTCACTAGAGGCGCTTAGATGGAGCAGACGTTTGTCCATGTAGAACCTATGGCCAGTCAAAGCGGAATCTGTTCCGACAACCTTCTCATGAGTGTTTTTAATCGGCATGCTTCATCGAAGACAACAATATGATGCATATATACGGAGATGGTCAGACGAAGAAATGGACGTTCTAACATAAAGCAACCAGCTGGGGTTGAACTCAAACCAGTTGAGAACTATGTACGTCTCAACGGTTTCTGCGTTTTCGGTTAAGAGGCTGTATTTTAATGGGATAATGACAGTGATCTACCGCAAATGACTGCGGCTTTGAACATTTCACACAGTCAATTTAGCGTCTTACCATTGTCCCATTTTTAACATGACCTGTCATCTTCTCTCGCTGCAGAGAAAACGAGATCCCAACAGCGTTTCCGAAAAAAAAACTGCCAATTTATCTACCGCGGTATCGTTTGTGAGTGGCTTTCGCACAGAGATTAATCTCCATGGGACTACCAACTTCTTCCGTACCAGAAGTCATCCGGGTTCGTTGTTCCACAATGTGTTCCAATTTAATCAACTCCGGCTTACAAATATAGTTGGAGAATTGTTTTACATCTGGAAAACTGGCAAGATCCGTTTAGTGAGCACACCGAGCACTCTTGTTTTGGACCTTTACCATGAATGAATGAGTCACAAATCAATCACATGAAACGAGTTTATTCTGCACGAAGCAATCATGCCTGCAGTAGAGTGTACGATGATTGCAGAATGACTATCTTCCTCAAACACTCAGCTGGGATACGTTTATGAGAGTTCACATAGGCACGACAGAACCAATGTCCTCACGTCGAATTTGGAAGCGTCTAACAACGTCCATCCAAAATTGAAGTTTACTTTCGAACACACCTATTAAGACTCGGTGATGCGCCCTTTTGCTTACGTAAACT